GAAAATGATTTAAGATCATGCATGTTTGCATGTTCATATTGTTCTTGAGAAATGGCTTGAAATTGGGTTTGAATTAAACACCCTTGGGCTTTGATTTCTCAAATTGAGTTTTGAATCATGTTATTCCATGTGTTTATAAGAGTTTTCCAGAAAATGAGCCCAAGAGGATCGGTTTTGAGTTGTTAACAACTTGGTTTTGAGCTTGGAGGTGCAATCTGGAATTTCCAGATTTCGCACTTCCGCTCGAGCGGGGAAAGTGCCGCTCGAGCGTGGATTCGAGCATCCAGCACTCTGCACTGTTTTGCAGTCCGCTCGAAGCGGAGGATTGGGCGCTCGAGCGGAGTCATGTCTCACGCTCGAGCGGGCGTCGAGCGGAGATTTCACCCATCCAGTACTTTTACAGTACGCTCGAGCGGAAATTTTTACGCTCGAGCGTGTACCTTGATGCATGTTCGCTCGAGCGGGAAACCTGAGCTCGAGCGGGACTCTGTTTTTCTGAAAATGCTTTTAAATGTACATCTTTACATCCTCATCCCATTCTAGGCATTCTTAGGCCTAGTTTAAGACATCTTAATGAGGATATAGATGTAGAACACACCGAGGCAAATTTAGGGATTTAATTATTACCTTTCCCATCTGTGAAACTTAGAGTGTGTTCAATCTGTTAACTGTTTAGGGTTGGCATTTCGAGGAGGAAGGTGGACGGAAAACAACTTGCTTGGTCACACAATCAATAGTGGCATGATATTTTTGTAACCAATCCATCCCCAATATTACATCAAAATGATCGATTTGGTTAGTCTATCAACAATAACCCAAATTGAATTCATACCTTTTCTGGAGCGAGGTAACCCAACGATGAAATCCATCGTGATATGCTCCCATTTCCACTCTGGTATGGGTAGGGGTTGCAATAATCCGGCAGGTCGTTGATGTTCAGCTTTGACCTGTTGGCAATGAAGACATTTGGACACAAAGTCGGCAATTTCTTTCTTCATTCCTGGCCATCAGAAATTCTGTTTCAGATCTTGGTACATTTTCGTATTCCCCGGATGGATCGACAATTTCGAATTGATATGTACATGCATGCAACAATTAAGCTTCAACATAGCAATTTGAGCCATAGGGTGGCTCTAGACCTCAACTTAGCTCTAACCCATGCAAGAATCAACTCAAAACATGAATAAGAAGACAATGGAGCTACCTTTAGTCTTGTAGTTCAAGAAGGGAGCTCAAATATGCAATCAACCTTCAATTCTTCAAACCATTCTAGCCAATTCACAATGAAACAAGTTGAACTCAACTCTTCTAGCTCCTCTCTCTCTCTAAGGTCGGTTGTGTGCAGGAAGTGGAAGAAGAAATGTTTTGTTGAGTGTATTAGGAGATCAAAAAGGCTCAAGTAGTGGGCCACTCTAGTGGCAATTTGGTAATAAGTCCAGTTCATGAAATTTGGTACCATTAATCTAATTTAATCATACCTAATCAGTTTTCAGATAACTTCACCATAAAATTACATAAATTATGTTGATATAAAATTACATAAATTATGTTGATCAAGACACACTAATCAATTTTGGATTCGGCCGCCGATAAGGCCTTCAATTTGCAATTTAAACATGCAAACAGGAACAGATAATCAAACAGTCAAACAGATAGAATACAATTTAACACACATATACTCAGTCAATTCGATTCCAGATTTCAGTCAGTCAGTTCAGTACCTTAGGCAGTTCAGTTATCAGTCATTATCAGTTTCGTTTAGCAGTAATCGGTGATTATCGGTAATCAATCAGTCATAAATCAGTAAACAGTATGGGGGTTGTTACAGCATCGGACAGGTTGGAGCAATGATGTGGATCTAACGTGGCATGGGTGACGTGGAATACAATCAGGTCCACGTGGCAGTGATGTACGTAGTAGTGATGTGGCGTCTGTTGGCAATGAGTCAATGAACCGATTGAACGGTTGTGTGCTCGATCTGGAGCGGTTTGATCATAGCCGTTGATTAAAGATTCACACAATTGTACGGGTGAGATAGCACGCGATCATGATCGGGTGCGATCAGTCAAGACATGTATTCGGAGTGAGTATGATTTGCACCATAGATCGTTGATCCAACGGTCAAATCTGATCAGATGCGATCAAGGGACATGACCATTCGATCAGATGCATCAAGGCCTATAAATAGGCTGTGAAATAAGCCATTTCAATCCATCACAAAATTCAGAAAGCATTCCTACAATTCTCTCTCTCTCCCCCCCTTTTGATTTAGAGTTTTCGATCAAGAGTTTTTTAACCAAGTTTCTGCTTTTCTTACTCGTAATCAAATTCTGCAGACTTGATTATCAGTGTCTTAGTTTTCTTGATTATATCAAGAGTATTCTGATCTACTACCGTCAGTGCAGACGCCAGTAGACTTGATCTTTAGATCAGGCTTCATTATATCCTGGAGGCAAATTTGTTGTACCCCCTGCACACCTTTTGGTGGGTGCAAATATTGTCTTTAGGAAAACGACAAAATAACGCAACTTGAAGCACCAAATTTCTGTTCTACATAGACAAGATCATCATCAAGTTTTGAAGACCTAAAGACCACCAATTGAAGAATTTAAGACGAATTGTTCCAACACCCTTCCCACTACTATTTCTGTTGTCCACCCCAACAATACAATACCATGGGAAATTGTTGCACATATTTGGTGTTGTCATAGTTGCATTGGCTTAATATTTCTTACCATTTATATTTATTGCCAATGTAGTGATAAAATATGAGATAATGAATAAATGTGGTCATCGTAGCGTTATTCTCTAACATCCTCCTTCCTCAGTGCCCCCTCTATGTTTCAAGATTGGTTGATTACCTACCATTTTGCCGTCTAGTGTCAATTATTAATTATTAATTGGAGTAATGCTAAGCATCCTATTTTCTCTTCTTTTTTTTGTTGGGGGGGGGGAGGGGGAGGGAAATTACCCCTCAGTTGTATTATCAAAAAATTACTACAGATGCATGACAAATTTTATGATTTTAATTATTAATATGTATACAGCTTATCATTTATTTATAATTTTTTTAAAGTGTACATTGCACTAAAATTTTCCCCTTTTTTTCCTTGAGTAAATTAAATTTCATCCTAAAATTGGCTCCTTTTTGTTTTTAACTGGAGTGACGCTAAGCATCCTATTTTCTCAATTTTTTTTCCTTGAGCAAGTTAAATTTCATCCTAAAATTGTTTTTTTCATTTTTAACTTGAAAAAAAAAAAAAAAAAAAGATTGCTCATTTTAAATTATCTAAAAATTGTTAGTTTTTGGAAGAGTTAGGTTTACCTTGTGCTTTTATCAATTCTCAACTTCTGTGTCATTTTGCTTTTACCAGTTCTTTGTTTTGGTGAGGACATTATTAATTCTGCTATCCAATTGTTGAGGATTGCACTCATTTTAAAGCACTGCGTAAAAATATTATCTTGTGTTTAGTTAAAACCTTGAAACTAAATTGACGGTGGTGTTGGTAAGTGACAGTTGCGGTGGTGATGCTGGTAAAACTTCAAATTAAAAAAACAATTTCCCACCTTTCAAAATTAAAAAACATTTTCCTAACAAATATATATATATATATTGATTTTGATTTTGATTTTCTATTACACCAAATGCCAAAATATGTGATAACCATTTTTCAAAATATATTTTTGTGCCCAAACAAAACAGAGCAATTAGATCAGTATTGCTATGAGTCCAAAACCATTGTTTCAAACAATAACTTGCATGCTTTAATCAGACTGATCCAGCAGCATAACCAGGATCACAAAATAGCTCAACCTTTGGGAAATTATTTGGGAGTTCCTTTATGGTCTAAATAAATGCTCAAGTAAACAAGATTTTCAATAATTATATATTTATTGATAAAATGAACAAAAAACTATCTGGTTGAAAAGAATATATATATGCTTTCTATGACTGGGACGATATTAACAAATGGTTCAATCACTTAACCAACCACAGACGTCATCTTTTTTATTGACCAGGGTGAACAAAACTTCGAAAATACGCCATTTCATCTTGACAGCCACGAATAACATAGTTTTGAAGCAAAAAGTTCATTAAGAAAACAAAACAATTCAGACAAACAAATCATAAAGGAGACGTTATAAACATTTGATATCACTCCACACATTGAGTACTGAGGATATCAAAATTTTGCCATTGTCTTCTCCCCCTAATTAACTGAGAAACCATTAACAGTCATTCCTCCGTCAACGGAAATAATCTGCCCGGTGATGTAAGACGAAGCAGGCATACAAAGAAATGCCACCAAGGATGATACTTCCTTGGGCTCTCCAGGGCGTCTGAGAGGAGTTTGAGATATTATTTTATCCAGGAACTCTTTGTTTTCCAGCAACTGCAAAGGAATAGAAATTTCAGAATCAGGAGAAGTGTTTTGTCATACGAGTAAAGGAATACTTTTGGGTATAATTTAATCAACACAATTGCTTTCAGCCAAGTCACCTAAGTTCAGAAGTAGCCTATGATCATTGGTGCAAAAGATAAGAAAAAAAGTAGGTACAAAATCGGTAACTATTAACTCCTTTCCCTTTCTCTACAAATCCCTACATTAGAGATTCAACATGTGGATTTAAAGAGAACAATTTCTCCATTTTTCCTTTTTTACTCCATTTCTCTTCTATCAAGCTATCCAAACAGGTCATTTGAGAGTAGTGAGTTCTTTTTCTTTTCTTCTCTCCAAATCACCCCCAATCCAAATGGGATTTAGAGATTGATGCAAGAGATGTTCTTTGTAAAGTTAGTTGAAATAACATTTGGAAATGTTAAAAATATATTAAATCTTCACAAATAAAGGATTCAGACCATAGAAATAATTAACTACCATCCCAGGAGAAGATTAGGTTTGCTTAGAGTCATCAGCATTATTATTATGCTTCAAGCAACCATAACCTTAGGTTTTGTACAAATTGCAATTACGTCAATGTTTGGCATATTCAAACAAAGGAAATAATTTCACAGTATTATGCACCAGTACCCGTTGCAACAAAATCTCTTGTGGTTTTCCGCGATTGAAAGTTGACATTTCTCTGACCAATAACCAAAAAAACAGATATCAAGGTGGACAGGACTGAAATTGAACATGAAGAAAATAGGAGCATGTCCATGAAGTATCCCCCAAAGTGTCCTACCAAAAAATATTAATTAAAAGAATTGATACACCACGAAGAGTGTCCCACACGTGTTTAGTTTCTGGTACGTGTCGGTCACGAACATGACCCTATTTTGGAGTGTCCATGCTTCCTACCCCACCATTGTCCTCATAATTTAAAAAATGTCATTGACACACCATTCTAGATGCATTTTCTACATAAACTTTCTATTTGTAAATCATTTTCCTATTAGAAAAGCAGACCAACGAATACAGGTACCCATATAGTGGAGTACTAGACATCTTTGTTATTTATTAGCTAGAGATATTGTCCAACATAATATTGTATAATAATATACAAAAATGGTATTGATCAAATGGGTAAAGTAAGATATTTTTAATGGATGTTCATTTCCTACATATATTTCTGTATTATCTTCCAAGTAAACATACTGATCCAAATAGCTCAAAAGAAAAGCATTTAGATTCTATAAGGACGTTGAGCAAGAGAGAAGAATATTACATGTTCTACGAGTGAGGTTCTGATATACCAGGGTGCAACACAGTTACATCGAATGTTATCTTTTGCCCACTCACAAGCCAAATTCTTTGTAAGTTGATTCATTGCACCTGTAAACAGCAAGTAAGACCCGAAAGCATGTATCTTCACAGCCATGAAGTTTCCATCACATACACATACTAATGCAACAAACAAAGCATATCTTGACAGTAACTTACCCTTACTGGCTCCATAAATAGATCCAGAACCAATATGCACCAGACCAGCAACGGAGGAAATGAACACAATGCTTCCAACTCTGGATGCTTTTAACAAAGGGTATGCAAGTTGGCAAAGATGGAAAGCAGATTCAAGGTTGGTAGCCATAATCACGGAGTATTCTTCAGTTGTATACTCAATAGTTGGCTTCCTGATATTTGTGCCAACATTGTTTATCTAGCGCCACAAGATCATGTAGGATTTTAGTTTGTAATAGGTCCAAGGAACATGAGAATATTAAGAGATTATTTCATTTTTACCCCTATATTTTTACACGATTTTCAATGACCCCCTAGACTACTCTTATTTTCACGCGAACTCCTATACTATTTAAGTTACTATCAATTTTGCCCTGCCGTCATATTTAAAAAGGAAAAAGTTAAAAAAATTACATTTTGGCCCCAAATTTCAAAAAAAATATGTAGACCCACCCTTTCCAATACAAGCAAACCACCACCACCAACCACCACTTCAAGCCCTTCTATCTCTTTCGTCATAACTCCGTTTTGCCTCATTTTTACGTCGTTAGATTCAACTCACGGTCTAATTTTCGTATCACATCTCACCCGTCTCGTTCTTCCTCTTTTTGTTTGCTATTGGAGCTCCGAAAGTTGGTAATAAAAAATATAAAAAAAATCTTCTCATTTTTTACCTTTCTTCGAGCCATCTTTCGGATTTCATATCTTTTTCGATTCTTGACGGTTCTACTTCATTCTTTTGTCATTCTCTTCACCTCACTTCCTACTTCGCCCTACACTATCTTGCTTTCTCACTTCTTTGTGTAATGAACGGTTTTAGTATGCCAAAAGTTGTCCGAAAACTAATTTTGAAAATTTCGTCCGGTAGAGATCACCATCTTTTCCTCCATTTTACCCAAATTTTCATCAAAATTTCAAGGTGAGCATAAAGAATTTTCACATTAAAGATACATGTAATGTAACTAACAAAAGCCTTTCAAATTTTAGAAATTTTTAGAAATTTCACGGGGGCCTTCAAATGTTGTGTCAAAACCATGAGAAACAGCTAGAAGGTGATTTTTTGGAAACACTTGAGAAGCGCAAACACATATATAAGCACTGATGGTTTGGATGGTTTGCTGTAGGTGTGTGGATATTAGTATGAACACACATTTGAAGACGGTGAAATTGATAGTAAAGGGGAAAAATCCAGTTACTCTTGATCACCTAAGGTGATGAGTAACAACATCCGCTACTACATTCTACCTAAGCAACACCTCGAGTCAAACCCAAAAAGCCCACTGTAGGTATTGCACATCGCATAGTTACTGACCTTTGGTGCATTGTGTTTACTGGTTTCAATCTTTTCATTTCTTCTAATTTCAGGAAAGCCTTTGGGCCGTGGTCGGGGCTGAGATCGTGGCCACGGATGTGGACATGGTGGCCAATAATCGAGTTGCTCTGGTTTTATTCATTTGAGCACCTGGTTATGTGAAATCGGTATGTTGTAGGGAGTGTTTGTTAATGATTGCCAGACCCAAAAGATGGCATTACTACCAACTTTTTCATTTTACTGTTAGCTCTGTTTCTTATATATTGAAAGTGCTTCTTTTATATTCTTTGGCCTTGTTATCAAAGTGGTCTTCTATCTCATGACTTGAATGAGCTTTCTATGAAATTATTTGTTTCATCTAATCTATTCATAATGTCATGGTCTATTTTATCTAGTAGAGATCACCATCAGACTTATGTTAAAAGTTTTTGGCCATACAGATGAATGTTTTGAAATTTTCAAAATTAGTTTTCAGACAACTTTCGGCATACCAAAACCGTCCATTACACAAAGAAGTGAGAAAGCGAGGTAGTGTAGGGCGAAGTAGGAAGTGAGGTGAAGAGAATGGCGAAAGAATGAAGTAGAACCATCAAGAATCGAAAAAGATATGAAGTTCGAAAGATGGCTTGAAGAAAAGTAAAAAATGAGAAGAAATTTTTTTTTTTTTTTTTTTTATCAACTTTTGGAACTCCGATAGCAAACAAAAGGAGGAAGAACGAGACGAGTGAGATGTAATACGAAAACTAGACCGTGAGTTGAATCCAACAACGTAAAAATGAGGCGAAACGGAGTTATGACGAAGGAGATAGAAGGGCTTGAAGTGGTGGTTGGTGGTGGTGGTGGTGGTGGTGGTGGTTGTGATTTGCTGGTATTGGAAATGATGGATCTGCATATTTCTTTTGAAATTTGGGGTCAAAATATAATTTTTTTAACTTTTTTCGTTTCAAATACGACGGCAGGGGCAAAATTGATAATAACTTAAATAGTATGGGGGTACGCGTGAAAATAAGAGTAGTCTGAAGGTCATTGAAAATCGTGTAAAAAAATAAAGGTAAAAGTGAAATAATCTCGAATATAAACATATAGGATTCAGCATTCCAACATAACATTGTTTATCTAGAGCCAGAGGATCACGCACGCAAAGAAACCCTTTGAAAGTTCCAACATAAAAATAAAAATAAAAAGAAAGAAAGAAAAAGGGTGATTTAAACAGACATGTTCCAATTTGAGTAGAGCAATGGCAATTAAAAAGACATGTATTTACTACTTCCTTGGATAAAGGTTATATTCTAAACCCAAAAGAAACAATACAAAAATAAAATGCCTAAAGGGTTTGTGGAGAGGAACTGTTAAATAGCAAGCACACGCAATGCTTGACTTGATATACTAACTATATTTCATTTCATCATCAAAAGAAATGGAAACATAGAAAGTGAAGTGAACAGATTAGTGCAGACTTGGAAAGGTTTATAAAATACTTGTCGACGAGGTTAAATAAAGGATCTTGAGTCTTGTTGATCTATTCTATTGGTATAAAAGAAAAGTCATCTGCAAAACAAGACATGGTAGAAAAGGAGGGAGGACACACACAACACAACACAACCAAACGAACGAGTATCTATCTATAAAGAAATTGGATAAAAAATTGACTTACAAGAATGTTGAGCTTGCCATCGAAGAGAGAGGAGGCTTTATCAAGCAACTGTTGTCGTTGGGATGAAGAAGAAACGTCGCAGACAGAACCAGTGACGGTAAAGCCTTTAGAGGCCCATTCTTGTAAGCAACCACTCAGCTCTGCTTCGTTGCGGGAACATGTGTGCACTTGAGCCCTTAATTCACCTAGTTCCTCCACAACTGCGTGCCTATAAACCACCAAACCAATCAAACCTCCCTCCCTCCATTATTATTATTATTATTATAATATTACAATGTCAACCAATTCTCAACTCTAAATAAATCAACAATTTTTTCTTTCCTTCTACCCGATGATCGAGAATTAAAATTAATTAGACTAAAAAATAAAAAGAGTGAGAGAGAGAGAGAAAAGAGAAGACACCCAATGCCACGAGTGCCACCGGTGACGAGTGCGGTCAATCCCGTGAGACACCACCTCGAATTTATGCTACTGCTCTCCACCTTCGCCATTGTCCTCTCTCTCTCTCTCTCTCTCTCTCTCTCTCCACTCAACTCAAGATTATGATTTTAAGACTTTTTTTTATTGAAAAAGTCTGGGCACCAGATTGTGATTAGATATGTGTAGTGTAGTGTAGTGTGATTTTATATATAAAATAAAATAAATTTAAATTATAAAATGATAATTTTAAATAAATTTTGAGTAATTAAATTTGAATTGATAGTATTTTTTTTTTTTTAATCTGTTGGTTTGATTTGTTTTACTTGCCACCCCCTTTGTATGGTGGTGGTTTGGTGAGAGGGAATTAAAAATATGAAAAAAAAATTATATTTGATTTATGTATTAAGTAATAGCAAGAAATGATAAAATATATATATATATATAAGGAAAATAATTTTTTTTTTATATCTAATTTTAAGTTTGACCAAGAAATAAGGAGAAATGGTAATAGGGATGATCCTCTAACCAAACCTAGTTCATTTCTCACTAAATTAGTGAGATTTTGTGAAAAATAAATTGATTAGTTATAAAATATTTATAATACTAAAATTATATCTTAAAACACAAATTAAAAAAAAATAATAATATTCATCTCTCACTTGTTCTACTTCTCCACCCATCCAAATATAATAATGAGAAAATATAATATTTTTGTAAAACCTATGTTGTGTGTAGGATTATTTTATTGGATAGATTAGTAATTAAATTAATTTATATGGCTCATTTATTAATATCAAAGAATTAGTTATGAGATGGCATTATATTTTCTATTACTTAGATGGGTAATTTTGTAACTTTGAGAAATTAGGTTAATAAGCCCACTTTGTTGTGGCTTTAAGTCTTGGGAAACAAACAAAACAAAGGTTGGAAATTGCTCCATAGGCAGCAAGGTTTGAGAAGGTAAAAGAAAAAAAGAAAAGAAAAAAAGAAGAGAGGTTCAAGTGAGGCTGCAATAGGGATTGGAGGTAGCACGTTGGGTGATTTTGGGACACCCATTGGTTGAGGTAAAATCTGCTTTTACTGTTGATTATTAAGTTTATGTTGAGGAATTAAACAATCAAATGCATTAAGGGGATTTGGAATATCTATAGGTGTCTACTTAGGCTTTGAAAATTGGGTGCAATGTGTAAGTGTAACTTTGGGTGGGTAATAGAAACTGTACGGGAAAGAAATAAACCTTCTCGTATAATCCTGTTGATCAAGTTTGCGCTCCTCCAAACGTAGTCACTTTACTCCCTGAAAACACAAACGTGAGCTAGCCGGCGGGTGTGTGCCGAAAACCTCTCCGATGCCTAAGTCAGCAAAATAGACAAGTAGGCAAGAAGCTCTGTGTATCAAAGTTGTGTGTTACCTCCCCATAGGTGATATTTGTGAGCTTTTATAGGTTCCGTGTGGCACAATCCAAGTAGGACTCTCACTCTTCCATGTAGAGTCCTCCTAGGATTCATACTCCTGAAAGATAATGTTTATCCTTTAACACCCTCCTTACTGCTTAAACCAAGTGAGATGGTTTTACTATGGTCGGATTCCACTATGACCGAGGTAAGCATGGCTTATGCTAAGCCGCAGACTAGACCGAGCTAACTTTAGCTCGGCTCTTCCATTCATTGCTCTTACCCAGGTTTCTCCTAGCGCCAACCATGGTGTGATCAAACCGAGCTATCAAACAGCAAGGTTCTGGCTGAGATAACCTGCATAAGCCAAGACCGGGCTAACTTTAAGTACGGCAACCGGGCTATGTTCAAAGCTTCCTTTAGACCGGAGTAACTTCAAGATTCTTTCGGACCGGAGTAACTTTATACCTCTCTTGGGCCGACGTAAATTACACCTCTCTTGAGCCGGAGTAACTTCATGGCCTTTTTACTCAGTCCTTCGCAACGTGGCCCATAACGGCCCATTACCCAGCTCGGCGCAATTTATAAGTATAAATTACCCTCTCAGAAACAATGGAGTTTTGTATCATGGGTAAGGGCGTGTTTGGCTATAAAGTTGGGTTGAATGGTTTGATCACTTAGATATTGAAACAATACATTAATCTAATATAGTGGGGCTTTTGTGGGTGTATGTAACACGTAAAAATATTAATTTATTTGAGGTTTTATTTGTTAGGTTTGTGTGATTGAAGTGGTGGAGCTTGGTGTTTGGAGTTGGTGTTGGAATATTATTTCTAAGCGTTTGAGGTAAGTAACCCTCTATCACTGTTGGTACATTTTTTATTCCTATTGAATCGTTTAAAATTATAAGTATTTATTTATAGCCGTCATGTTCTCTTAAATTAAAATATGGGTCAAGTATAAAATAGCATCGAATATTATTATGAAAATTATTTGAATATTTTATAGAACTATTATGAAAATTGTACTAAATGTTTATTCTGAAAATATCGAATATTTTATTTAAAAGTTGTGTATTGTTTAAATTTTGAATATCACTCTAGTCTGACTATGATTTGGACCCTAGCCAATAGGGGTTATTTATTGGCACAGAAACTAGTTTCTTTTGGGGTTTTACCACCGGCCTATATGTGGTTTTGGGTCTTGTCACGGGCTAAGTAACCGTAGTCACCAAGACTTGGGTTTTGTGAATCGCATCATTGAACCATTGAATATCAAACCATCAATTCTGAACAACGAAATTTCGTCGAATTACCTCATTGTCTTTCAATTAAAATGTATTGCTACACTGTTTATTTTCAACTATAAAACCATCTTAGAAAATAATTGTTTATTTATTGAATGGTAGCAAAAAATATATTTATTGGTTATCAACTATTTTTTTTTTGTATACTTGATCCAGTTAGCAGTGATGGTTGGTTATTTACTAGGCTGTCTAGCTTACCTTTATTTTATTTTTTTCAGATTCTGAGGAGTAGAGCTGTGCGGGGTTTTTACTTGTAGGAGTGTCGAAAGTAGGACTATGATTTAAGTACTTGAATTATTATTTATTTATTTTTTATTAGTGGATTTGGTGGACAATTTCATATGATAAGAATTATCTATTTTTATGATTTTTAGCATTATGATATTTAAGGATTTAATTTGAGTATTTTACATTGTTGGTTATGCATTGGACTCTTAGCCTTGCATGTTCACTTAAATGAGTGTGCGGCATTGTCACGGAGCTTGGGGTGTGAAATTTTTTTTTTATTTTTTGACCTATATCACAATCACTTAGTATTTTTTTTGAATAAATATCATTTTCCTCCCAAACTATCACGTGTTTTTCACATTGACCCCCATATTTCAATTTAGTACTTGAAGTTTCCACAAATTGATCAATTAGACCCTTGTCATCACATTCCATCTAGAATTGGATGGAATGTGCTGACGTGGCATTTAAAATTTCATTTTACTCCCCAAATTATACCTTAAAAATCAATTTACCCCCAAATTAAAAAACAATTTGCCCCCCCACATCAGCACATTCCATCCAATTGTGGACGGAAGGTGACGGCAGGGGTCTAATTGATCAATTTGTGAAAAGTTTAGGTACTAAATTGAAATAAATCGAAGTATGGGGGTCAACACAAAAAACACGTGATAGTTTGGGAGGGAAATGATATTTACTCTATTTTTTTTCACACCCTTCAATCAGCAAACTGTTTTGTCTTCTTTCAACCTCATCACCTATTAATCTTAAAAATATATATATATCATTTTCCTCCCAAACTATCACATGTTTTCACATTGACCCCCATATTTCAATTTAGTACTTGAAGTTTCCACAAATTGATCAATTAGACCCTTGTCATCACATTCCGTCTAGAATTGGATGGAATGTGCTGACGTGGCATTTAAAATTTCATTTTACTCTCCAAATTATACCTTAAAAATCAATTTACCCCCAAATTAAAAAACAATTTGCCCCCCCACATCAGCACATTCCATCCAATTGTGGACGGAAGGTGACGGCAGGGGTCTAATTGATCAATTTGTGAAAAGTTTAGGTACTAAATTGAAATAAATCGAAGTATGGGGGTCAACACAAAAAACACGTGATAGTTTGGGAGGGAAATGATATTTACTCTATTTTTTTTCACACCCTTCAATCAGCAAACTGTTTTGTCTTCTTTCAACCTCATCACCTATTAATCTTAAAAATATATATATAATATTGACACTCCATAAAGTTTGTTCTTAACACATATTCTCCCTCTTGAAGTTTTGAAAATTAGGTCCCTCTCTATGATATTTATGTGAGAATATATTGTGTACATATGGTTGTGTGTATATATGGCATTGCGTATATTAAGAATTAGGCACGTATTAGGCAAGATTGTTGTATTTCCTTTTTCAATCATAGATTTAGGGCTATATAATCTGATGAACTCTTTTGTAAATACACAAGTTGAATATACAGATTATTCAGAAACTCTTACATGGTATCAGAGCCTAGTTTGAAACCCTAGCTTGTAGAATCGAAACCCTAGTCGTCGTAGTGGGTTTGCTCCATCTGGTTCTTTGTCTGACTCAAAGGTTTCGTCTGGTTCGAAGACTCTTCGACCATCTGGTTCTTCATCTGGTTCGTCGATTGCAACTCCTGGTCGCATGGTTTGGTTTCGATCGCAACCCCTAGTTCGTCTGGTTCATCAATTGCACCCCATCTGCTATGCATCACGACTGTCGCGACCCAAACCCGCCCCTATAGGTTTGGTATCGTAACCGACCAGTAATCCGAGATTACCAAAGGCTTTCCTGTATAATAAAAAAAAAATTCGGGGCTAGCGGAAGCAATATACAAAAACCCCAATAGTCCAATGAGCTGTGCATCTATATGAACAAATATTTACGTGCAAAAACGTTAATTTACCCATATTCAACCCATAACTTATAACTTAACATCTTATACATAACATGTGCACATAACAAAAGTGTACTTCACGATCAAAAGCCTGACAACGGCCTTCCAGGCCTAGCCCCAACTCAAAGGCACACAAAATAACTCGGTAAGCTTCAAAACAGTGATTCAACTAAAAACCCCTTCTAGGCTTGCCCTTTAGAACGCTCACCTATACATATATATAAAAACAGTGAGCTAAAGCCTAGTGAATAACATTAAAGTAAAGGGGTTAGTGAACGAATTCCAAATATATCATATCCGTAAAAC